ACATCATTTACAGCGGGTCAATTAATTCTTCAAATGATACTTTTAAGTTAATTTTATAGTATATTGTGTGTGTTGTGTGTTATTGATATTTTTCTAGTTTTGATTTAAGTTTGCTTGTTTAGCGTCGTCACAGTTGCTAGGTGACATCACGTACGCCGGGGGTAAGGAGGGGAGGCTAGACCGTCCAAATCCACAGCCTCTTTTTTTCCGGTCTTCCCGGTCTACCAAGGACCCGGCCCGCCGAGACCGGGGAGTCTGGGTCCTCCGGAGGACCCGGCCTGTCGTTTTGGACACAGCCAGCATGGCCCGTTAGGTCTTGCCCATAAGCCAATTAGGGGGATCTAACGGCCAGGACAGAGGCAAGCTGCCGACTGTCCCACCCGAGACTACAAGTCTCTAAGTGTTTTAAACTCCCGCGGGGAGATTTTATTTTGAAAGGAGGAACTGGATGCATCAGCTTGAATCTTTCTGGCGAAGATCGAAGCAGACGAAAAGTTGCCTAAAATAACACTTTTCGCCAAGGAACAGTGAGCGGGCCGATTAAAAAGTTCCCTGACTAATCGGAGGTGAACCAGTGTCTACCCAGTGTTTGGTTAAGAAGCCGGCACCAGGTAAAAACTGACGTGTTCCGGGTGACGTGTCATGTGCAAATCTGAGCACAGAGAGGACGTGCTGATCCGGTTGTACCACATCTTTAACAAAATAACAGTAGTAGAACACTAATCTTATTTTCATCCTTTCCTCTATTCTTTATTTGCCAAAACTTAAGCTAAAGAGTGCCAGTAAATTGTTTGGTCGTTAACATCAGAACTGACGTTTTACTGTTCTATTTGTAAGTAATCTGAGTTTGATGTGAATTAAAATTCGGACGCGAGTTTTTATCTAATTTAACTTTGAAGCTTGTTATAGGAAAACCACAATCAGGTGTACTTATGATCTGTTCAATTTGTGTAAATAAATGATTGCATAGTCTTTCATGAATCAACTTGAACTCGTCTGAACGTTCCCTTATTGTGTCACTTTTCACTTCACAGTCAAGATATTAAAGTAATGAGAAAATACCTTGGTAAAACTTTCCTCATAACCTTGTTATGAGAGATATGTAGAAAGGCTCATTTCACAATAAGCTAACCCCCTACATAAAAATGTTTGACCTGTAAGCAGAAAGCTTACGGATGTTGGATGTTGGTTTTTTATCTCTATTTCAAAGAAGAGGATGAGGAGGAGAACGAGGAAGTTCTCCTCAAGCAGCTCCTAAAACTGTCAACCTGCTGACTGAGAACATTTGTATATATTACACTTTGTATATAGAACAATATAGCCTACTTATTAAATTATATTTTTATTGAGATATTTTTTGGACAACTAAAATGTTTTGAGGACAACCAGATTTTGTCAAACCCCCACATGAGAGGTCACCACCACGGTTAAAAAAAATCCTTGGGGAAACTGCACAGTTACAGTTC